CTTGCTCCAACCTTCTTAATCTTCAAAGATCTCTCCACCAAGCACTTATCAAGGTTCCAAATACTCCCCAATTCTCTCACAAATGGATTTAGGGTTTCTGGACTTCAAAAGGGGGTAAGGGGACTGAGGGGAGGGCATTAAGTCCTTTAAATAGGGTGCAACCCCGAAGATTAGGGTTTTTCTCTCTTCAACACCAACTCGCCAAGTCCAGCAGCTGACTCGCCGAGTTGGCCACTTTACGCACGACCAGAATCATGAATCTACTCGTCGAGTCCACCCATGGACTCGCCGAGTTGAACATCCTTATTTACACTTTGAACCCGGAACTTGCACTCCTGAACTCGGGTGTTACATGTGGATTGCTTTAGGCCTAAGAAAGGGAATTAGGGTTTCCAGTTGAAAACCCTAGTAGCAACTTGACTATATAAGGACCCCTTTGGCTATTGTTTTTGGCCCTATGCTATATAGAAGAACCTTAGCCGGAAATGATAGCCTCCATCCTCTCTCTCTTGTTCATCTTTTGCTAAGTGGTGTTTGTGACTTCATTAGAGGTGTAGCAATTAAGGCACTAAGCTCTTGAAGGTCAAAATCAAGCTATTAACAAGAAAGGTATTCTTTTAACCCTATTTTATTTGTTAAATTCGAAAATTGTATGCTAGATTAGGTTTCTTGCTTTAGATAATTTATTTGCATGTATAATTTGAGAAAAACCTAGATCCAAAGCTATTAGGGTTGCATGTGCACCATAGGAATGTTGTAATACTCAAAACCCATAAGAGGATCCTATATCCCAACAATTTCCTGAGGATCCTACATTGTCAAAGTTCAGGATCTTGGGTTGCAAGATCGAGGGTGTTGCTCATTGGGGTTTATGGATCTCCACTCTCATTCTTTCCATCTCTTTGAGTATAGTCTTGTTTTCCTCCCGATGTTGGTTTATTTGTTTCTTTACCATCTTCACCATGGAGAAGAGTTCGTTGTTACGGAATAGGAGGATCCTGAAATCTCAGGGATCCCGGATTCACATGGTTGATGATCGAAGATGTGTGCTTTTTAGAGATATCTGAAGTTTTCCTTTAACTGGTAGATCCTTTTGGAGGTGGTGGAAGATTTTTTGAGGAAATAGGATGAATAGAGGAAGAAGATAAAGTTGGTTGTGTAGACATAATTTTCGAGAATTAAGAACACCACGGTCCCACGGATGGCGCCAAATTGTTTTGGTCAAAATCAACTATGTAGATATCAACCAAGGTATATGAGAGGTTGTGGTGTTGTGAATAATGTGAGTACTGAATTGAGATAAAAATAATACGAGTAGTTTACAAGGAAAACCATTGATCCTTGCTAGGATCTTCGACATAAAACCTTGGGAGGTGATAATGATCACCTACCTTGTACGATCTTATTGATTTGAATGTAAACTACAGAGATGATGATAAAATCTAATTACAAGTGTTTGCCCAGCTCTAAGTATGTAAGGTGTCAAAAGATTGTGCCTGTTGTGTGTGTTTTACAAGTGCATATATACTCTAGGTTAAGTAACTAAATGTCTGATATTTCCGGGATCCTGCTGAACTGATATTTACAACGTGCTTTGACTTGGTATTCCTGAGTTTTAAGCATGGTTGAAGTGGTTCTTCGTTGTGAACGAGTCTTATGTTGACCATTTCTACACATGTGAGAAATAAACAAGAAATATAGTCGTTAAACTTGTTAGGAAATAATAATGGTGATGTTCAGGATGCTGATGTATGTTCGGGATCATGAGACTCCTTTAAGATCTGGGATCCTGGATAGGTTTAAGGATCCTTAGAAATCTTTGAGATCGGGGATCCTAGATAGGATTGATGATCTTGGCCTTAACACTAGCTAGGTCAACTGAGTCAACCCAACCGAGTCAACTCGACCGAATCAACTCAGTATACGTATAATGGGTGTGCACGCAGCCTCCCATGTTGACCACCATCAGGGTGGTTGACCTCGTACGCAGGGTGTACTCCGAGTACGTTGGGCGTACTCTCAGAAGTCCAACAATCCATTAAGAGCTTAATGGCTAAATCTCTTACATTGATAATTCAGATCCATGGCTAAAATACTCCTAGGAGTCATAAAGTCTCCAACTTTATGACTTAGCATGCCCAATAAGTGCTTAACTCAAGGTCTTATTCCATTAAGACCTTCTAAATGATGCATGGAGCAAAACTAACCATTTTGAACCCAATTTTATGACTTAAGACCCCTTATAGGGTCTGAAAGGACAACTGAATGGTCAAGAACATTCCATGTTCAAGATTTAACATTTTTGGGACCAAAACTCCATAAAGACATCCAAATCTAGATCTATATTCTAGATGGATAAAGTTTCAAGCTTTATACCTTGGAAAGGTTGAAAATAATGTAGAAACTCTAGATCCAAAATGCTTCACTCTTCCAAGATGAGCTTGTCTTCCTTCCTTCCTTCTTCTAAGCACAAAACACACACACACACACACACTTAGGTTGAAAATAGCTTCTCAAGGGGAACTAGGGTTGCAAAACGTCTAAAGAGGGATGGAGGCTGATGAGGTGAGGGGAAATGAAGCCATAAGGGTGTTTAAATATGAGCTAAACCCCAAAAATCAGGGTTTCCAAATATGGAAAGTATGCTCAGCGTATACACGTATGCATGGCGTACTCCCCTGAGACCAAATTGCAAAAATGCCACTAGGGGATCCTTTTGCACACTTTCTTGAACTAAGGGACCAATATACAACATAATTAAGTTATAGGGTTGAAATTAGAAGTACATTATCATCGGGATGTTACATTAACTCATAAGTCCAAATCCCACAACTATGCCCCTTAAGGGTAAAAAGACCATAATGTCCCTTCCATGGTACCAAACCCTAAATCTTGACCAAAAGTCAAAAATCAGCAAAAGCCAATTACCCATCGCCCAACACGTACGATGGGCATACACTCCTCCTATACGCGGTGTACTCGAAGAACCAGGTGGGTCGGAGGTCAGGTCTGGATATGTTGGGCATAGCCAGAAGTACACGGGGCGTACGTCGTTTGATCCCCAAAACCACTCTGAAATGTCTTAATCGTTAAGACATGCAATCCAAACATAGATCTGACCTCCATAAAACGTCTTAATACACAAAGTCCATAACTTTAAGCTTTTGCATGGCTAAAAAGAGCTTAATACATACTCAACACCACCAATCTCTTACATGGCTGGAAAGGGACCATCAAACAACCATTTTTATAACTCTAAGCACTCTAATACATCGAAAAGGACAACCAAAATACTTTAGAGTAACCCATACTCACAAAGGTCCAAGCTTTGGGACAAAAAGCTCATAGAAACCCATTTAAGAGATCTAGAAAGAAACACATCAAGGTATACACTTTATATCTTCAAAAGATGCACACGATGAAGAAGTTTTAGGATCTACAAGCTTGCATGTAACACCACCTTCTTCCTCAACAATAATGCACAAAATCACTAAAAAGACTCCAAGATCCTCACTCTCAAGGCTAGGGTTCGATATATAGGGTTTAGAGGGAAGGGAGGTTGTCTAAAAATGTCAAATGGAGGCATAAGGTGTTTAAATAGGGTTACAACTTGAATTTAGGGTTTTGCCACCTGTATGCGTATGCCCGACGTAGCTACTCGTACGCCCAGCGTACGTCGCCTCCACCCCGATCCTCGCTAAGGCTTACTCCTGACGTACATGGCTAGTACGCCCTGCGTAAGATGAAAATCCTCACTTCTTATTATAAAATCATTTAGAAAAAAATACATAAATAAATTGGTACCTCGGGATTTGGGATGTTACATGTGGTCTCATTAGGGTTAACAGTTACAATTACCTTAATGGTATAAATTGGCTCTCAACAATTCATTTGCATAATCCCTTACTTGAGCATAATGTTCACTTAGTATTCCTTCTATGAGAGTCATTTCCCTCATCCTAGCTCTATAACACTTTCTCCAAGATACTTCACAATGAAATTTATTTTGTATCAATTCATGCATATACTTACATTTCAATGTGGGAGTCCTAATCAAAGATACTTCACAATGAAATTTATTTTGTATCAATTCATGCATATACTTACATTTCAATGTGGGAGTCCTAATCAAGTCTTTCAAACACTACCTTGCAAGCCATGTTGGGTTCATTACGGAAGCATTCTTAAAGTTCCTTACACACTTATGCACATCAATCATTTTTTAAATACAAAAAGACATCTCTGTACTCATCCAAGAGGCCCAAATTCTAAATAGGAAAGGTGTTTTAGTCATTTTTCCTACCACATTGAACCAACATTCTAACACTATAACATTTATGGAATCTCATATGGTACCCATTGTTGATTTCATAGTTAGTTAAACAAACATTGAGTTGTTAAGGAGACTCATACCTTTCTCCATGCATATGTTTCATCTTGTTCCACTTCACGAAAGGACCTCGGGGGGCAAAATTCAACCACAACACCATCTTCATCTTAGATTGATGGCTCATTTCCATTTCCATGGTGTATCTTCAACATCAGATCCACATTCATCCTCATCCTCGTCCTCCAAATCAGGGATGTAAGCATCGTAATCTCCACAGAGGGTGTTCAGAAACACACATCGTTGCATCTAGAAGGTGGTCTGTTTTGAATTTATCTTCCTCTTCAACATCTATATACGTGATCTAATTCCTCATTTTGGTCTTCGTTAATAACATAATAGCCTCCTTCTTGTTGCTTGGTTGATTTCTCTTAGTAAAAACCCTCGATTTAGCTCTCGATGATTGAAACGACTAAAATGTAAAAACTTTAATTTGATGAGTGTTTATGTGGGAAAATGCCAGATTAGATGGGGTAATTGGTTACCTAAGTGGTAATCTGATTTTTACGTTAATAGAACCAATTTTTAAAGACTTCGTTACAAATTTCCCTAAATAATAATATTAAACTATAAAATGAAATAGTACTATTATTAAACTATGAAATTGATGTAGATTTGGGTAGTTTACATAATTATCCTTGGGCTCAAAAGCTGGCAAACTTCTGTGATCAACTCCCAACTTATCACGCGTTGCTCTTCTTATTCATTACAAACCCCAAAACGCCAAAAACACGCCCTTGAGAACTAAGAAACCATCCCTCCGACAGATCTCCGGCGTCTCTTTCCGTTTCCATTCAATCCAATTCACACACTCAAAACTCCGATTTAGATCTACAACACACTCGAACTCATCGAATTTCTCCTTTAAATTCCAAAAATCCGCTCATCGTTTTCTTTATTCTGTAACTTTTAATTTCTCTGTTGTTATTGTTAGTTGTAATCCATGAAGGAGATGTTCCGATTCCAGCAAGAGAAGGTCAGAAAACGACTTTGATTGTTATCCGCCTTGCTCCGACTAGATAAGGATTTAATTATTTTATTATAATTATCGTTTGTTATGGCGGATGCTTTATCTGCCATTCCGGCCGCCGTGCTTCGGAACCTCTCTGATAAGTTATATGAGAAGCGGAAAAATGCGGCGCTTGAGGTTAGTGTGCTTTTTGGTTATTTTAATCAATATTGGAATGTGCTGTATATGTTGTTTTAGTCAATTTTGAACTACTGTGCTGTTTTTGTTCTATTGTTTAAAATCTATTGTTAAGTTTTAGATTTGGTGATGATTTTGTTGTTGTTTCTTTAGGTTGAAGGAATTGTAAAGCAATTGACAGCTGCTGGAGATCATGATAAGATTACTGCTGTGATTAATTTGCTGACACATGAGTATACTTACTCACCTCAAGCAAATCACCGCAAGGTATAGCCAGAATGATTCTGAGATTTTACTTGGCATTGTTGATAATTTGTTATTCATATTTGCAGGGAGGGTTGATTGGCTTGGCTGCAGCTACTGTTGGTTTGAGTGCTGAAGCTGCACAACATCTCGAGGTTTGGATTAATTTCTTTGGCTACTTTTTTTTGTTATGACATAGAACACCTGTATCGGTTGAACCTCTATGATAGACTTGTTAGATTTCTGCAGTCGGTATAAAAATTATGCTATGTGATATAGGTCCTTAGTTTGGTGCAATCGTTATTCATAAATGAGATAAGTTAGGGTGCTGATCAGTTAACTTTCCTTTTCCTCATTTTTATCTCTGTGTGTATCTGTTAATTTGTTATTTTACTCTGTAGTACCATAACAACAAGAAGTCATTAATCTCAAATTAGTTGGGGATGCTCAATAGAAATTATAGAGGTGAACCCTATATGTTTCTATGACATATATAACATCATTTATGCACTCCTGTTTAAGGAATAGCCCTCTAGCATATTCAATGACCTCAAATCTGTATACTGATCACCCATGTCAATCTTGGTTACTAACTGTTGCATTCCAAAGTCTATATTGATGATCACTTGTTTAGGATTATTGATGCATCATGCATTCACAGTTTTTTTAAGATGTGATATAATTTAAATGTCTAAACCATTACAAGAACTCTCCAAATTAATTGAAAGCCTGTTTAGGAGTCATGTTCTTTGACATTTTATGATCTGTAGCTTAATCATCATATCTCAGTTGGGAGCTTTAAGTGATGTTCTCTTACATTTTAGTTTTGTTTGCAAGGTTTATGTTTTTGTTGTTGTTCTTGCAAGTCTGTTCTCTCCTCATACGTAGAGGACTTGCTTGTTTTGATGATAAACTTCATAGATATGATCATGGATGATCTACTTTGAAATTAGGGTTTATTGTTTTAATGAGTGGTTTTTAACACCTTCATAATCATGAACATACAAGAAATTGGTTTAGACTTCAGAACTTTGTTCTATGCACTCACTACTATATATAGTATTCCCATAAAACGTAACAACCTGCTGACATCATAGCCCTACACCTGTCTTTTTTTGTTCTTACGTGATTAAACCTTCCAAGGCCTAGACCCATTGGACTCTATGAACTGATCTCTATCAACTTTGTTGATGGAAAGTCTGAAATCAATTGGTAGATGGTAGGCTACTTGAAAATGTGGTTATTGAACTGTTTCTAGCACTTCTTTTACATATGGAGGCACAAGCTTTTGCTGCAATTTGAGTCATCTTAGAAGTTTTCCTTTAGCCTCACCACTAGATAAAACTTCAGTTTTATTAATGTATTTATATAAAATTATGAGTAGAATTTGTTGATCCCTTTACCATTAAATTGATACACAAGGACTAGTCAATATGTTGAAGAAAGCATAATCAGTAGTTTTATACTTCTACTAGCCTACTGGGCATTAATTCCCTATGTAGGTTCTCATTATATATTTATACACAAGGACTAGTCAATATGCAGTTACTTTTTCTTGATCATGTTTTTCTGAACTTTGCCTAACTATGCCTTTAAATAATAATTTATTGATGACACTTTCTGTAATCACATTTTCTTTTTCTTTATTTTTAGCTATCATGCTATTTGAGAAAATTATTAGTAGGTCAGGAAACTTTTTCGTGAGGGGTTGAATTTAATGTCTCTTTATATTGTCAATTCTTTTGGTATTAGTTTTTATATCTTTAAACTATCTTATTAATAGTTACAAAAAAGTAAGTGGTTGATGTGAAGTTTGACTTACTTTTTAAATTTGATAAGACTTTCTCTTTTTCTGATATGACCTGCCAGCAAATTCTACCACCAGTCATAAACTCTTTCTCTGATCAAGATAGCAGAGTTCGCTACTATGCTTGTGAAGCTTTATACAACATTGCAAAGGTGAGAATGAATCCAAACTTCATCAAACAAGCTTTTTTAATATAAACCATTTTCAACTTACCTTTTGAGTTTTACAGGTTGTGAGAGGAGAATTCATTTTCCACTTCAACAAGATATTCGATGCATTATGTAAGCTTTCAGCAGATTCAGATCCCAATGTACAAAGCGCTGCCCATCTTTTAGATAGACTCGTAAAGGCAAGTGGTCTCATTATATATTTTAGCTCTTACCCATTTTCTATATAATGCTATTTACTGAATTGCCCTTTACTTGTTGGAAAAACAGGACATTGTGACAGAGAGTGATCAATTCAGGTGACTATCTTTGGTTCTACTTTATATTTGTATATAAGGGTAACTAGTCATTTTTCATATTAACTTTTCCTTTTTTTTTTTTTTTTAATCAGCATTGAGGAATTTATACCGTTGTTGAGAGAGCGCATGAATGTGTTGAATCCTTATGTCCGCCAGTTTTTGGTGGGTTGGATCACTGTTTTGGACAGTGTTCCAGACATCGATATGTTGGGATTTCTTCCTGATTTTCTTGATGGTAAAATATATTTTATTTTAAATTTTATAAACTTTTTCTTTATGAAATTAACTTACATGATGATATATCCCAGGTTTATTTAATATGTTAAGTGATTCTAGTCATGAAATCCGCCAGCAAGCTGACTCAGCACTTTCAGAGTTTCTTCAAGAGATTAAGAACTCCCCGGTAACACTTCTACAAGAAATCTGTCATCAGATCTCTCAGTTATATTATTTTCTGACTAATTTACAGTTTGGTCCCTTAAAGGAATTAGCTTGCAATCTTGGTCTATATTTTGATGTTCTCTAACAGTCCTCCTGGTCCCTTAATTGTTAAATCTAACTACTCATCTGTTTTTTTTCAAATGACCATTTTGCCCTTGGACCAAAACTGAAAAAATACTATACCACAGGGACCAAAGTAGTCTTTTTTAAAATAAATTAACAACTGTGTAGTTAGATTTAACCATTCAGGGACCAAAATTGTTATGAATCATTAATATAAGGACCAAAGTTGCAAACTGATTCTTCAGGGACCAAAAATATAGTTTTTTTTTTCATAGTTTATTTGTTAATTTCTGACTCTAGCAGTCCTAATCTTGAAGTCTGTAGATTATGGTCGCATGGCTGAAATACTTGTACAAAGAGCAGCTTCTCCTGATGAATTCACTCGGTGGACTGCAATAACATGGGTAATAATGTCATTTATGAAAATTTTGAACTATTTGGGCAACCTATTTTGTTTAGGCATCACTTGGACAATTATTATCATTTTTTTTTTCTGCAGATAAACGAGTTTGTAAAACTTGGTGGAGACCAGCTTGTACCTTATTATGCTGATATATTGGGAGCTATCTTACCATGCATAGCTGACAAAGAAGAGAAAATACGAGTTGTAAGTTTTTATTTTTTTTATTCATTAATTATATTTTATTTTTCTGTATGTTTTTTTTTTTTTGATATGATAGTTGTTATCAGGTAGCCCGTGAAACAAATGAAGAGCTTCGTGTAATCAAGGCTGCTCCTGCTGAAGGATTTGATGTTGGAGCAATCCTTGATATTGCTAGGAGGTTTGTTTTAAATTTTAACCCTAAAGTTACAATAATTTTATAATTTGTAAAGTATCATAGTAAAATTACCTTTTTATCCTCTCAATCTATCAGGCAGTTATCTAATGAGCATGAGGCTACTCGAATTGAATCACTACATTGGATTTCAACCCTTTTGAATAGGCATCGTCAGGAGGTAACATTGGATTCTCATTACATGAACCTTTTTTTATATTATTTAATTTTATATTCTTTTAGAGATCTTTAAATTTACAAAAATTTCATGTGTTATAACATTAACAGGTCCTCTCTTTTCTGAATGATATTTTTGACACACTTCTCAAGTCATTATCAGACCCCTCTGATCAGGTAATCCACATGATGATGATGATACCTTTATTTATTGAAAGGGTATTTTAGACATTTGGCACAAACTTTGTAGGTAGTGCTCCTGGTGCTGGAGGTACACGCAGCCATTGCAAAAGACCAACATAACTTTCGCCAGCTTGTCATTTTCTTAGTTCAAAAATTTCGGACAGATCATGCCCTCCTCGAAAGGTGATAAATTATTTCTCTTCAATTCTTTTTTTTAAAATATATATTGACTATTTTGCCCTTTTCAGACGTGGTGCTTTGATTATTCGTCGACTTTGTGTGCTTTTAGATGCTGAAAGAGTTTACCGTGAACTCTCCAAGATTCTAGAAGGGGAAGCTGATCTGGATTTTGCATCTACTATGGTTCAGGTTGTTTTAGTAACTCAATAAAAAAATCATGAATATTTTTAAAATATTAAATATTTTTCATTTTGTATTTCAGGCTTTAAATTTGATTCTGCTCACCTCATCTGAGTTATCTGATCTAAGAGATCTTTTAAAGCAATCACTTGTTAACGCTGCTGGAAAAGACTTCTTTCTTTCATTATACGCCTCATGGAGTCATTCATCAATGGCCATAATAAGTCTCTGCTTATTAGCACAGGTAAGGTTATTATATTACCCTATATGAATATATTACATTATTCTTGAAAATTAAATTAATATTATTTACATTTTCATTTTTTTTTTGTTGTAGGCTTACCAACACGCAAGTTCTGTGATTCAATCTTTAACAGAGGAGGATATTAATGTCAGATTCTTGGTTCAGCTCGACAAATTAATACACCTTCTAGAGACTCCTATTTTTGCTTATCTTAGGCTGCAGGTGTGTGTTGATTGCTATTTAATTTAAAAAGTTGAATTTCTATTAAAAGAAAGTTAACTTTTTTATATTATTTATATGCAGCTTCTTGAACCTGGAAGATACATATGGTTGTTAAAATCGCTCTATGGTCTTCTCATGTTACTTCCTCAGGTGAATCTTGTTAATGAAATCTACTCTTCTAGTCCTCTTTCCTAAGTAGATAGATAAAAATGAATTGAAGAAATGTTTATTTTGATTTACTACGAATGCAGCAAAGTGCAGCGTTTAAGATCTTAAGGACTCGTTTGAAGACAGTTCCTTCATATTCCTTCAACAAAGATTCACGAAACCCTTCCACACTCTCACAAGATTTCAATAACATGAACATGAATGAGGAGGAAGATTCTTCTTCTCATAACATGAACATGAGCAATAATGGAATAAACTTTGCATCTTGGCTACAACGATTCCAACAGAAACAACACCAACATCGCTTGCATTCAAAAACACAAGCACGCGCCTTTTCACGCAACATTTCCATTTCCTCAAAGGTATCTTAATAAATTGAACACCTCATAAATCACTAATTATCATTTTTTTTGGAAATGATCGAATTTAATTACAAATGAAAAATGAGTTACAGGAGGTGAAGGAGGCTGAGAAAGCTGAAGAAGTGAGGGGGCCCACACCAGAGTTGAACAGGCCACCTGTTTCAAGATCATCGCGAAAAAGTGGTCCAGGGCAACTACATTTATGATCTATCATTGTCTTGTCTTGTGGGTATAAAGTGTAAATTGTATATCGTTAGTAGTTTCTGTCTCTGGTGAAGAAGTTGTTATTATGAAGATGATGGGTTGTAGGTTTTTTTTTTTTTTTTTTTTTTTTCTTTCACCCTTTTTTCTTCCAGAAGAATGAATGCTCTGGGATGATGGAGGAGGTATTTGTTATTACTCCAGTGGATGTTTGCTCTTGTGGCTGTGTTATTTTTATTGGAGACCACAAGGGCCAAAGCCAGAAAAGATAGATATCCCGACTTATTTTAAACCTTAAACTTTATTCACTGATTGTCAATGTCAATGTCAATGTCAACTATAATAATAAATCTACTTGTTTTGTATTCTATGTTTCTTTCTTATCTTAAAGTTTATTTTATGTTTGTTACAATTCAAATTTATGGTATTATAGGTTTTGTTGCTAACTGTTTTATTGGCTATGTTTGATTGTCATTAACCAATTAATCAACTTATTTAATAACAAAATTAAGTTATATATAAACCAATATGTTTACTAAATTATCTACCATTTTGTCTAGAACCTAGGAATGATATTCTACCATTTTGGTCGATAGCAACTCGTGTGGAAGATTAGTTTCTCAACATCCGAGTTGCCATCGAACCAAGAAGTTGATACCGTTTTTTAGATACAAGGGATCTTATATATCACAAGTCTTCTATCAACAAAACTTGTAACTAGAACCAATGTTACTAAATCATTACAACTCAGACTAAATATTCTCTAGAATGTTTGTTTTGACATGAAACTGATCATTACTTTAATTATTTTGATGCCATTTTAAGGCTTCACGCGACTTCTTTATAGTTTGATAACAATTTGGTGGCAGCTCATATGGCTGTAAGCACAATCAGTCTGAAGTTATCAATGTTTACATGCTGCTTAAGGTTACTTCTCGTTGACCCTCTTAATCTAAGTTGTTTCTTAGCATTTATGCAATCTTCCAACTACACGCAGAGTTAATTGTTAATATGCAGTTACACCAACCCTTGAGTGAATGTTAGGACTATATGTTTTGGGTCATGAGGCGGAGACCTACACATGGTCTTTTTCTTGATCATATGATAACTCTTGGTTGGATTGCAACTCAGACGGGAGCAACCTGCATTTTGATCATTACACAATTTATATCAAAAATACATGTGAAATATAGTCTTCTACACCATCTATAGAAGTTTAGGTATTTTTAAATATGAAACTATGGAAACAACGCTAACAAATATACCCAAATACAATTCTACTAGAATATACAAATAAAACATGTCCTTACTTGGTCTAAGAAAAACAAACTTTATATGCATAATACTTTATCTATGTATGCCCCTTTACTTACATAAATTTGTCAAATTATTGGGATACACACTCATCCACTACAAATGGAAGGGGAGGGGGTACATATAGAATTAGCCTATGTAACCGTTATTATCTATTCAATCAGTTTCCCATTAAAATTAGCATAAGAAGTCAAACAATAAAATAACTATAAAACAAAAAAGATATGGAATATTGAGAAAATCCAAAATCACCTACAAGATTTGCATATTGTTGAATCATTTTCTTGGTCATTGTATTAAGGAGTTGTTTGACAAAACTAACTTGTAGTTGTAAAACTGGAAATTGATAGTTGATAGTTAGAAACTATAACTTTTATTTGTGTAGAAGTTTTCGGCAAATTAACTGAAAAATTATAATGGTCATTCTATTAAGGATGTGTTTAACAAAACTAACTGGTAGTTGTAAAGCTGAAAACTGGTAGTTTGTAATTCGAATTTGTAGTTTTTATTTGTGTAAAAGTATTCGGCAAATTAACAGAAAATTATAAAAGTTTAAAACTGGTAGTTGTAAAGCTGAAAACTGGTAGTTTGTAATTCGAATTTGTATTTTTTATTTGTGTAAAAGTATTCGGCAAATTAACAGAAAATTATAAAAGTTTAAAACTGTATAAAAACCAAAAGTTAAAAGTCGTGAAAATCTAAAAGGTCCTGAATCTACTTGAAGTAGCTTTTGGATTGTGAGTTTTTTGGTTAAAATAAAAATTTTAAACTTGAACTTACGATCAAAATTTCTTTTTTTAATTCGAGTTTTTTCTTAAAGCTAAAAAATGTCAAGATTTAAAAAGTTTGTAGTCAAGCATTAAGGGGTGTTTGAAATTGGCTATTTGAAGTGTTTATTGATTTCTTCTGGTTTGATACCAACAATAAGTAGTTTTTAACATTTAGATACAAAGTTTTCATAAACATTTATCGACTTAAATAAGAAGTTTTTGATAAGTTGTTAATTATTACACATAAAATAAAAGCTCAAACACTAAAAATAATTTATCAACTTATTCTGTTTCGACATCAGATAAGCTAATTCAAATTTTTTTTTTATTTAAAAAAACTCTTTTATAACACTGAATAAACTAATAAGCAATTTTACAAATAAACATATAACTGGTTGAGATTTTCTAATATGTATCCTAAAAGCACACATAAGAAACATAAATTATGAAAAATATTATCATAATCAAATATGAAATGCATTAATTATATTAAATATTTCTCATTGAAAAATATAAAATACGTTTATTATGGAGAATATTATGTATAATTAATATATTTCACATTTAATTATGATAATATTTTCCATAATTAATATTATTTATATAGAAAATCTCTAACTTAGTTTTAAATAAAAAAAATCTCAAACACCATTTGAATCATTAAATGGTTTGCAAGGCCAAGCAATCAAACAAATAGATAGCATGTGTGGATTTATAAATATCTTTTATATTTGACATTTAGTTTGTATTTGGAGTTGCCAAGACTTTTAAAAATATTGAATTAATTGGATATGTTGTTGCTCTTATGTATAAAAACACTACTAGATTCAATTGATAAAACCCCACCTCAAATTTAAAAGGTTATTATTCTTAAATTGTCAAATAATCGATTTTAGGCCTCAGTGAGTGATATTATTCTTAATTGGATAAGGTTGTTGCTCTTATTATCCTTAAAATCGATTCAAGTGATCACCAGTCTAGTTGGTTGTGATGCATCCTGGGTTATAGGCCTCAGTGGGTGAGGTCAAGAGTTCTACTATTAGCTGAGCACATTTGGGGGATTTTCCCTGAATTGGCGGGTTTGATTCTTCGTTCCCTTTGGTGGTGAGTGGTGCCCCTCTTGGTGGCCCGCCAGACATTCCTGATCCATCGGGTCGGATTACCTTCTATTTGCCGGTTCAAAAAAAATCTATTTTATGTTTTGAAAGGGTAACCAACTTATGTATTCCATATGGTTACCTACTATTCTAGGTTGAATACGTCACCAGGTTACCTGCTATCTTAGGTTGAATACGTCACCCATCTTTCAAATTTTACACTTTTGACCAAAGTTTTAAAATTTATTACAAATTCGGCCCAAATTCAAAATTTAGTTAGGAATATGCCCTAAATTTATTTTTCTACAACTTTTCTAAGACCTAAATAGTTTAGAAGATTTTTTCTCAACCTTTTTTTTTCCATTTTTTTTAAATTATAATATTTTCTTAATTTTTTTTCCAACTTTTGTATTAACACATATACATTAGCAAACATTTTTTTTCCCTACTTTTGTATTGTCTAATATACATTAGCAAACCAATTTTTTTTCAAAATAATCGTTTAAAATTGTTGTGTTTTATTATTTCATTGCATTTTAAATAATATTTGTTATTTCATCAAATCCAAATGTTGTACAATCAAAGATGAAAATTTGCTAATGTATATGAGACAATATGATTTAAAACCCAAAAAATAATAAAACAAAATTTTTGTAAAAATATTATTTTTTTAAAAAGTTGGTTTGATAATACATATTAGACAATGAAAAAGTAGGGGAAAATTTGGTTTGCTAATGTATACGACGCAATACAAAAGTTGAGAAAAAAAAAAGTTAAGCACAAGTTTTTAAAAATTTTCAGAAAAAATAGAAAAAGAGTTAAGAATTTTTTTTCTAAAATATTATAAAAAAATCTTTAAAATCTTGTGGAAAATAAATTTAAAAGAAAAAAAATAAAATTTAGTAAAATTCATAACAAAATTTTAAATTTTAATTGAATTTGTAATAAAATTTAAAATTTAGGTTAAAAATATAAAATTTAAAAGAATAGATTCAACCTAAGATAGGAGGAAACCTTATCAGAAATATGAATTTGTTACCTTTTTAAAACATAAAATCAATGAGTCGGCAATTTTGACATAATAAAAAGTTAGTTAACAAAAAACAGTGATAATCCCTAATCAAATTAAGAATTATTTTTGCAAATCTAAAAATATAAAATAATGTCACTTGGATTATCTTATATAATGTACTATGCTTAGTAAGTTCTTAATAAAGTTTTACTTATATAACCGGTTTATAATTTTAATTGTAAGTTAATAATATAAAGTATCATTGCAAATTTATTGAAAAATATATTTATTCATGGTTAATTATATAAAAGAACGTTTTATATATATATATATATATATATATATATATATATATATATATATATATATATATATATATATATATATATATAATTTTGTTTATTTTGAAAAAGCTCTTAAGTTTTGCTATTTTTTTCTACTTGGCTCTTTTAGGAAGTTTAGACACAATCTTCCGGTTTAAAAAATCTTCAACTTTTTTCCTCTCCCCTTTCCCCTCGCAGCACATTTTGCAAACTTTTTTATTATTATTATTATTTTAACTTATAATTCATCTTTTTTTTTTCTTGTTGTTGGAGTTTTTGATAGCTTTTAACAGCAAAATCTAAAGGAGACATTTATAATTTTTTTCAAAACAAAGAGAAAAAATGTCGTCTTCAATTCTTGTTGTTTCAAAATTTATTTTTAGGATGCTAAAAAATTATAGCATATGAAATTTAACAATTAACTACCTCAAGAGGAAGATTTCATTTTCTTTATATTTCATGGAATGAAGTTGATCCATGGTTATGAGGATTTCTATGTTGAAAGAGAACCTAACTTGTAGACCCTGCAACACTCGTGTATGTTAATCATACATAACACTGGATCATATAGACAATCAAATACTTAATTCTACCCTAAGCCCTTCATCAAACAAGAATAGGAAATAAGGCTAAAT